GCTCCATCTGACATACCCGCCTCAGACTACAACACATGCGCGCAGAATATCAAACCGTTCACTGTCCTGGTCGTCACGCGGAATCTTTGACTCTGAATATAAAGTGTTTTTGGCATCCTGGTGTTATTAAAAGATAACAGCGAGACTGAACTTTACGATCAGTGTGAGGACTGCAGACGCCCTGAAGCTGAATGTCAGCCCGTGCCGCGGACCGCTCTGTCATCCAAATGGACACTAATCCACCAGAATCCTGTTGAGAATACACACTCCGTGCCAAAACACATGCCAGTCCCAACCAGGAAACCTTCCTGGGCTCAAACCTTTCCTCATTTGAGCCTCAAAGACATGAAAAACCATGACTATCTTCTCCAAAGCTGAATATACTGTATATGAAAAGCCAATGTGATATCTGTTGCCCACTGATGTGAAACATGCTAAAGAAAAGAAAATATAACTAATCAAAACATAAAAATAGCTTTCCACAGTGAGAGCTTGTTGCACACAGTGGCTGAAGGAGTCAAACAGCTTCCCATCACATCGCTGCAGTCTGCATACTTCCAGCCTCAGCGAACCGATTCGAGTTAAGTTGAGGAAAGTGGCTGTGACAAATGCAGCAGACCCATGTCCTGAGATCAGCATGAAGAATTCACTTCTGATCTGAAAAAGTTTCCAGCAAAGAGTGTGACACAGGCGAGGGGTTAGGCTGACTGCGCTTCATGCCCTGCTGTCGCTATGAGAGAAAAAAAAAATTGATAAGCTTGACTTTTATTTTAGGACAAATACAAGTTCTAAAATATATTTACAGAACGTGTTGTTCATGTGTCACCTTTTGTAAAATGTCAGTCAAATTTAGGATTTAGCTTCGAGGTTTTGCAAAGTGAAATGTTAACTATTTTTACATTCAGCACCGGATACAATTAAGTCAAAGCGCTCCCTCAATCTCCCTAATTAAAATTTCATTGTCAGTAATCATTATGACACCCCCCACAAATGCCCCTCTTTAGTTAGCTTGTCATTGGCATGTCTCTAACGGGAGACTACTCCGACTGGAAAATCATCGTTTTAAAATGTTGGGCAAATTATTTGATATTGAGGGGAAAACTCAACCTTTTCTTCAAAGAAAAAAAATGTAACTTTGACTTTAATGTGCCTTTGACATCAACATTTTTGTAATAAATATAAATGCATTGGAAACATAACATTGATATAGCAAAAAAATAAAAGCCAATGAGACAAACAAGTTGGTGATATATTTGCGTGTGAAGTAACAGGATGCGATGCCAACAAGGAGTGTCTACAGGTGAACAGAGCGTTGCTACAAGGGCTGAAATCCAGACAAAGAAGAATCTGATGTTTCTTTATAATATTTTGAATTACTTGAAAGAAAATAATCGTTACTGCACGTTCATTACCAGGATGCGTGCAAAATCATATGAGAATGTGCAAATATAATGTGAGTGTGAGAGTAACCATACAGAAAACCAGAGAGCTCTCGCTGAAAATCTGTCTAATGCATCACCAGGAAATCAGACCGAAACAAGGAAGTGACAAAGATTATAACATCTGCTTCAGGGCATGACTCCGCCTCTTTTTATGTCGTCGATTAGGAAGGGGTCCCTATCATTTTGGTCAGAGACATGCCCACCAACAAATATAAACCTATCCCAATGATTTTAAACATACAAATATGAATTGTATTTCTTCCAGGCATGTTGCTAATAAAATAGAATCATGCAGGTAATCATAAATCACATTTATCAGTCATTACACTACCATCATAAAACAAAATAGACTATGTGTGGTGTAACTATAATTAGTGTACCCCAATAATTCCTTCATACTATCAGAGAGATGAAGAAATGTCAGAGTTCAAATAATAGTATTTCAATAAACAAAGACCAGGGAGTTTTTTTTTCTTTAAAGTTCCCCTTTGATGTCACTTCCTGTTTCAGTTTGACTGAGCCAATTTTAAAAGAAAAGAAGCAGTTGTGTAACAAAATGGGGCAAATCCTGTGTATTATGCCAAGTTTCCTAAATATAAAGATGTTTTCTTTGATTTTTTGTATTTTAAGGATACCCACATCACAGGCACTTTAATGTGAGGGTTCTGGCTGGTTTCTATGTATCAGCACATTTGAATGTTTTATTGAGAAATGCATGCTTTCTAAATGCATTTTTACCTTAGTCTGTGTGGCTTTAAGGTCGACGATTTTTAAACCATTTACCATCAGCTGGTATTCTTTTAGGCATCATTGTCCTTTCAGGGGCCGCTTTTATGGCACAACTGCACCTAACTCTATGTGCTCTTTCTAAAAGTCCCTTGAGTCCGAACAGCTCGCGTTGAGCAGAGAAGGCTTCCTATAATCGCTGGACAGTTGTTTGGTGTTGCTGCTGGGTGTGACACTGCTGAGGGACACAGACACGTTAAAAGTCTGCGACTGTCATTTGCTGATTGTTACCGGCAGAGGGTGGACACCTGCCAGCAGAAAGGCAGTCATCATCAGTCTGAGTAGCACAGCAAGATGCTACTTCTGCCAGAACTTCAATAGAGTAACTCAATCCATCTGTCAAGGGCGAATCCAAAAAAGGAAGTAAAGCACAGCAGAGGAGAAAACCCGGCATTAATAAATGTGTAAAAAACTGTTCAGATGCATCAGCTGTAAATGATGTGATATATATGTTGATAGGTATTGTGTTGTTCTCTTCAGCTCAGTTGAAAAGCTGCTTTGTTCCCTGTGAATATTTTGGTGCCTGATGGTGATAATGCTGTTTCGCAACGTGTTTTCCGTCTCGCCCTTGTTTGCATCAATTCTGTCAGAATCCCACTTGCAATCGCAAAAACATAAGAAGTTTTTCCTGCCAAACCAGAAAGTTTTCATTCCCTTGTTCATAATTGAGGTATTTTCTTCCAGCGCGCCGAGGTAACACCTCAGCTGGCATCTTCACTTTTCGCCCTTTTAAATAGAAGCCTTATTATGCAGAGTGAAAACATAAGACAGGTGTTGAGACACTGCGTGTGACAGTTAACAAGACTCAAACCAAGAGCACCCACAATTATCACTGTATGCACTTTGCATTTTTAAACCACACCCTGCTGCACTGTGAGCATTACTCTTTACCTTTTCTTTCACACCTGTTATCATGTTCTGCTCTTTATACAGCACCATATCTAAAGTTCCAAGATCTACGTTCAGGATCAACAAACAGATTTGTCAGGAAGCGGATAAAACATAATACAGACGAATCACAATGCATTAAAAAGACTGCCGAAATCTATTGGGGGGAGGGGAGGGGGGTCATATAAAATTGTTTTTTTTTTTAAAGCTTTATACCATGTTATAAATTCATTCCCTCATCAAAAACATACCCAGCGTGTTGCTTTGACTCATTCATGCATGATTGACAAATCCTTCAATTTCCTGCGGTAGCCAAGTCTAAACACTTACTGGTACAAAGCACCGCCTATTTACATAATGCTCCTCCCTGGAGCTCAGTCTGCAGCCGAGCTCCCGCCCCACAAAGCACTCTTCCCCAAAGTGCTGTTGTTAAGATGTGCTGAAGTGGGAGTGTCAGAAATAGTAGTGGGTTCTTCAAGAGACAGAGGCCAATTTCAAGGTGTTTAGACACTGCTGAGATACAAAGTCAAATTTATTTTTGAACGATACAGCATTTTCATAACACCCTAAAGGCCCTCTCACACTGTAACATTTTAGACAACTTATTGTCTGACACTAAAGATGTCTGAGCTGAAGATCTCCTGGAAGACACTTTTGAATACTGTAATGCAAATAATTACATTGAAAAGGCTGGACTTGCCTGGAAAATACACAATACCCCCCTGCCCCGCCCCCCACAAAAAAATAAAATAAAAAAGGTCTGACCAGGAGGTAGTGATGTGGGATACCACTGATTGCCTTTCCAATTCTGATACAAAGTCAAAATCAGGCTGGTATCGTCATTGCTGATCTGATTCTAATGCAAATACCTCTTATGTGTGTAGTAAATCTAAAGCCGTTATATTAAACCAATCAGAGGACTCAATCATTTACAATACGGGAAATGGTGTTTCAAACAATAAAAAAATGAAGTAAAACCACAATCTAAATAAACTATTGCTTGATTACTAAGAAATACTTTAAAAATGAAAAAGAGTCTTACATTTCATTACATTACATGAACACATAAACATAAAAAACAACATATATCATCTACAGACTGAGACTGTGCCGCCATGGTTGTGCATTACTCAGACGGAAGAAAAAGTAGTTCCCTCCAACTTCATATTAGTTACACATGATATCCATTACCTGAAATCACTGAAGTTTCAAAGTATTGATATTTTGATTTTTGTATCAATTATACAACATAAATTTTGGGTATTTTAGTATTGATACGCACATCGCTACCAGGTGGTTTAGGTACCTTGTTACTTTATAGTAGGAGCAAAGAGTTCAACTGGAAGGTTTCACCTTTGCAGCACTTGGTGTCAGATGGTGGCTGCTAAAAAACTAAAATCTTTTTACTGATGAATATATTGCACATCTGTGCATGTCTTTCTGTGTGTGTGTGTGTGTGTGTGTGTGTGTGTGTGTGTGTGTGTGAGTGAGTGTGTGTGTACGTTTTTCCTATATCGTGGGAACCCTTTTTCCGATTAAGCAGCCTCGTGGGGACCAAATGTGCATCGTGGGGACCAGGCATTGGTCCCCATGGGTACGGATGCAAATTACGAAAGGGGGGGGGGGGGGGGGGGGGGTT